CTCCCACCCCTCGGGGACCCCACTCACTCTCGCAGATGGGTTTGGGGGTGCTCCAACGACCCAACTTGGTGCAGTTACTGCGGGCGCTGCCTACCAGGCGGAACCCGGGATTGCAGCTGTACTCGGTCCACGTCCCCTCCACCGGCACCCGTTCCATCGCCCGCGCCACCGCTTGCCCGTTCTCCAGGCTCAGGTGCATTTTGGGGCAGGTCCTCACTGGTTAGGGGGTGCAAAGGGTGTGGGGGGGTGTCAACTCCATACCCTTCCCAGGGTAAGCCCTACCAACGCAGTGGGTGCTGGTTGGGACCTCTGGGGATGGTAAAGGTGATGATGATGGTGATGGTCACGGTGATGGTAATGGGGATAGGAATGCTGATGGTGATGGTCATGGTAATGGTCATAGTGAAGGTCTCGGTAATGGTGGTGGAGATGCTGATGGTGACAGTCATGGTGATGGGGATTGGTGATGCTAATGGTGATCATGATGGTAATGGTAACGGTAACTGGTTATGGTGATGCTGCTAACAGTGATCATGATGGTGATGGTGAAGATGATGGGGATGGGGATGGTATGTCAATGCTAACGGTGATGGTCATGGTCACGGTCATGGTGAAGGTCATGGTCACGGTGATGGACATGCTGATGGTGATGGTCATGGTAATGGTGATGGGGATTGGTGATGCTAATGGTGATCACGATGGTAACGGTGATGGTAACGGTGACAGTAACTGGTGATGCTAACAGTGATCATGATGGTGATGGTGACGGTGAAGATGATGGGGATGGGGATGGTGCCAGAGATCATGATGGTGATGGGGATGTTAACAGGGAAGGTAACGGTGATGGCAATAGTGATGGTGATGAGGATGGTGATCACAATGGTGAGGGTGACGGTAACAGCAATGGGGATGGTGACACTCACGGCAGCGGCTGGGGTGGCCCATGGCGGTCCAGGTGCCGTCGCGCTGGCACTTGCGCACCTTGGGCCCCACGATCTCGCGGTCGGGCCGGCAGACGTACTCGATCTCGTAGTCGAAGGGGAGGAAGCGAACGCTCTGCACCTCCTCGGGGGTCAGCCCCCGGTAGCGGATCCCCCCGTCCCGCGGCGGGTGGATGATCTGGCAGCCTGGGGATGGGGGGGTGGCACGCCAGTTGGGGGGGGCAGGTGTCACACGCGTGTCCTCGTGCGCTCGCACACACGTGTGTCATGTACCTTCGGTGAGGTTCACGTGGATGGCCGCCCGGTTGGGCTCCACGCTCAGCGCTGACAGCAACAGCAGCAGCAGCATCTGTAGGGACGGCGACAGCCCCACATTTATGGGGGGGGGACGGACAGACATGGGGGGGTCCCCCAACTCCTGCCTGCACCAGGCATCCCCAAACCTCGCCTTACCAGGGCGGAGGGGGGGCAGGATCTGTGCCAGGTGGATCGATGGATGGACACCCTATGGAATATGCTCCCAGCGTGCACATGCCCTGAATCCCCTATCGAGTACATCCTCTATAGGGTATATCCCGCATGCCCTGCATCCCCTATAGAGTACATCCCCTATAGGGTATATCCCACATGCCCTACATCCCCTATAGAGTACATCCCCTATAGAGTACATCCCTTGCAGACTCTGTCCCACATGCCCTGCAGCCCCTATATAGAGTGCATCTCCTATAGGGTATGCCCTATCGATTTCATCCCCCCTAGATTACATTCCCCATAGATTATGTCCCACATCCCCTATAGAGCACGCCCCACTGCGCATACACACATAAACACGTCATCCCCTATAGAGCACGGCCCACTGTGTGCACACACAAGCCCAGTGTCCCCTATAGAGTACCCCCAGGTGGATGCACACACACACGTGCTGATTCCCTACAGAATACACCCCCATGCACGCACACCCAGCACACAGCCCATCACCTATATTTACTTATAAGTCCTCTCCTATAGACGTCCGTGCGATTTACACCCTGCTTGCACACGTACAGTGCAACCTACACCCACCTTACACATGCACAGCACAACCTACACCCAGCTTGCACGCTCACAACACAACCTACACCTTGATTGCACACGCACGGTGGAACATTGTTTGCACATGCATAGTGCAGCCTACACCCTTCTTACACACTCAGTGCAATCTACACCCTACTTGCACACTCACAGTGCAAACTACACCTTGCTTACATGCTCACGGTGTAGTTACACCCATTTGCACACACAGGGCACAAACTACAGCCCTTCACACATGTTCTGTGCAAGCTATGCCCCATTTGCACAGACAGTGCAAACTACCCACTGCTTACACAAGCACAGCATGAGCTACACCTGTTTGCACACTCAGGGAGCAAGCTACAGCTGTTCACGTGCGCTGTGCAAGCTACACGCCATAAACACACCCACAGTGCATCCTACACCCTGCTTACACACTCACAGTGCAATCTACACCCCGCTTGCACACTCACAGTGCATCCTACACCCTGCTTACATGCTCACAGTGTAGTTACACCTGTTTGCACACACAGGGTGCAAGCTACAGCCATTCATGCATGTGCTATGCAAGCTACACCCTGTTTGCACACAGAGAGTGCAAACTACACCCTGCTTACACACTCACAGTGCAATCTACACCCCACTTGCACATTCACAGTGCATCCTACACCCTGCGTACATGCTCACAGTGTAGTTACACCCGTTTGCACACACAGGGTGCAAGCTACAGCCATTCATGCATGTGCTATGCAAGCTACACCCTGTTTGCACACACAGAGGGCAAATTACCCCCTGCTTACACAAGCACACCATGAGCTACACCTGTTTGCACACTCAGGGAGCAAGCTACAGCCGTTCACATGCGCTGTGCAAGCTACAACCCATTAACACACCCACAGGGCAACCTACACCCCACTCACACATGCGCGGCGCAACCTACACCCTGCTTGCAGACTCCCAGTTCAAACTACGTCCTGCTTACACACTTATAGTGCTAGCTACACCCATTGGCACACACAAGGTGCAAGTTACAGCCATTCACGTATGTGCTGTGGAAGATACACCCTGTTGGCACACTCACAGCACAACCTACACCCCATTTGCACACTCACAGCACAAGATGCACACACTTTGTCCCCTTCTGTGCACGCACAGTGCAACCTACACCCTGGTTGCACGCACAGGGTGCAAACTACACCTTGCTTACATGCTCATGGCGTAGTTACACCCGTTTGCACACACAGGGCACAAACTACAGCCATTCACACGCATGCTGTGCAACCTATACCCCATCTACACACCCACAGTGCAACCTACACCCTGCTTACACACTCACAGTGCAATCTACACCCCGCTTGCACACACAGCGCAAGCTACACCTTGTTTAGGCACTCACAGTGCTAGTTACATCCATTTGCACACACAGGGCATGAACTACAGCCTTTCACACGTACGCTGTGGAAGCTACACCCTGTTTGCACACACAGAGTGCAAACTACACCCCACTTACACACACAGCATGAGCTACACCCCTTTGCACACTCGGGGAGCGAGCTACAGCCGTTCACACACGCATTGTGCAACCTACACCCCATTTGCACGCTCACAGTGCAAACTACACCCGTTTGCACACACAGGGAGTGAGCTACAGCCGTCCACACACGTGCTGTGCAAACTACACCCTGCTTGCACACTCACAGTGCAACCTACATCCTGTTTGCACACTCACAGTGCAAAAGTACACCCCGCTTCCACAAGCACAGCGCCAGGCGCGCACACGTTATCCCCTTTCTACGCACGCGCAGCGCAAACTACACCCCGCTGACACACCCGCGGCACGACCTACACCCGGCTTGCACGCTCATGGTGCAACCTACACCCGGCTTGCACGCTCATGGTGCAACCTACACCTTGCTTAGACGCTCACAGTGCAACCTACACCCTGCTTACGCACACGGTGCAGCCTACACCCCTCTTGAGCACGCACAACGCAAACTACACCCCGCTTACACAGTCACGTTGCGGGGGGATGCGCGTGTGCAAACAGCTGGTACAGCCCCCCCAGCCCCCCCCCCCGCCCCGGGCTGTATTCACCCACGTCCCAGATAAATCATTTGTATTTATTGTAGAATTGTTTTAAATTTATTTTGAGTTTTTTAATTATTTTCAACAAAAATTTTTAGAATTTCTTTTCTTTTCTTTTTTTTCCCCCCAAGATTTTTAAAATTTTTAAAAA